AGGGCCTTCGGCTCAACAAAGGCAAGTCAGAATACCTGCCAATTTGGTTGTTCCAGAGACGAAAACAGAGGAAAAGCCAACAAAACAGTAAGGGCAGCACTAAGTATACTCCCTCAAACTCACTTCCTTCATGCAAGACAAGAGGGAAATCGATGGCGGGTTAAGAAATTGGTCGAAAATGGCTTCGTTCAAATGGAAGGAAGTGAGCGGAGTAGTGCGCGGCAAGAAAGCGTCAATCAAATTAAAGAGGTAGGTGCACACAGCGGTGGTAAGCCCGACGCTTCTGAACGACGCGGAATGTTTGGTTACCTTGAAGAAACACAATCAACAGCTGAACTCAGTAGAAACGTGGATGCCTGTGTTGTTTAATAAAAAAACTATATCCGGAATATAGCTCATAAGAGGCACTTTAAGTGTAGCACCATTTTAAGAAAGGCTCATTGAAAGTAGGTCAAATTTGTGTGTTCAGCCATATGAAAGGAAGATTCAACGAATGTACTGCAAATGTGATCCAAGCAATGAGAAGCAAAAAAGATATGACAAAAGAATAAAAAGTATTGAAGGAATGCTAGATGATAAGCGCTTAATCATTTGCGCCAGTATGAATGAGGGCGGCAGAACAAATGAATTCGCATGACTTGCTTTTAAAGAAGCAGTACTCCAGTGAACGAAGACATAATTTTCAAAGAGATATTTAACACAGATATAACTTTGTAGAGCAGTAGGAACTACTAATCAAGAACATTATATTGCGATTAACTATTAATTAACTAATTGCGGATAATTATTTACATCATGACTATAAGAAATGTTTAATGTTTAACTATGTTCTTAAGCAAAGTTAATATTTAAATCTTTATTTAAAAGGAAACTTGAGCTACCTGGCACCGATTAATAAATCAGATATGAACTTCAACACGCACAAAATTTATAGATCACACAACTGCCAAGTGACAAGGAATGGTATTATTATGACCATAGAAACGTCGAACTCCGATACGCTTCCGTACTTTACAATATCTATGACGTTCCTGTATTCATTTAACTCGTAAGCAAATGTGACCTCCTTTTCGATTCCATCATCAAGGCTTGATAGAGTCTCTGGAAGGCGGTATCTACTGCTACGTAGTAAGCGCAAGCGTAGTTATTTGTCCCCCTCCAACGAAATGGAATTCATTGCTCACCTTAAAAGGAATGAATAAACAGTGTCCTGACTCGATTCGAGCCAATGACTTTCTGCTAAAATTTTGACGCAGCACAGACCAAGCTATACGGGGTGCTAAAGAACAGCTATTGAGCTCCAACAGATCCTTCAGAGTGTTGCACAACCAAATGTCCCTTCCAGTTTTGAACCGCATTCCATGCTTGAACTGTTCCTTGTATAGCTTTCAACACTTTTTAAATACCGTATCGTTAGATCAACTTCTGAACAATTACTTTCACATTCGCTTACCCTGAGCTTGGAAATGGCAACGGCAGGGAATGCAGGCGAGGGTGAAAATTACGGTGGGTTGCACCTCATCAATCATCGTCTGTTTGCTGTCATCATCTCCCGGAGCCGTTTGCATAAGCACCTTGTCTCCAGCTCCAAACGTTTGCCGCATTTGCTATTCGTTACCTTTTAACCCTTGGTCAGAAAGCAGCAGATCTGGCATCATATAAGAAACAGTCCCACTTTGAACGAAAGCAAATCTACTTCTGCCTTTTTCATACGTACTGCGTCTGACTACTGTTCGCAGTTAGTTGTCTTTCGATTCCAACAAGAAGCGAAGCCTGTCCGCTAATCCGAAGGGTTTGTGCTGAAAAACCTGCCAACAAGATCAACTTCCTTTTCCTAATATCTATATCGACTGAGAATATTCATGTCTGTAATCATTTCCATGTGGAATCTGACTGGAGCTTTGTAAATTCACCAACAAAAAATGTGCCGCAGGTGTACAAGAAAGTATGCACGTGACGAAGTATGTTTAACGCATGACGTTGTATCATTAGAAGAAAGCAAAACCATTGTTTCAGCAGCACAATTTCAATGACAGAGGTAGTAATGGCATGGAAAATTCGGTGCAGTGCGGATGCCCAACAAGGCAAACTGTCATCACTCCCGTAAACAGAAGATTTTCTCTAAACATCAACTCATCACATAAATAAAACTCTGTTATATGTGAAACACCGAAGGTCAAGCACTGCTGTACATTTCCAAACCTGCCCTCTGCAAGCTTGATGAGCCTGCGAAGCAGGTCGAGTATTAACATCCTTACTGTCATTATTTTGCATGATCATGCAGAACCCACGACGAGTCAGCGATATTCGGTTCACTGTTCGTTTTAAAGAGATGAGAAACTTTCGTGATCAGAGAGAGAGAGATGATCGTCAGGTTTGTCCTTCTTTGTGCTCAACCGATGCATGTGTACGAAGCTGCGACCGTCATGCAGGAATTGCTACCGTGTGACTTCAAGATGATTGACAAATCGTGGAAGTAGTTCTCCAAGACTGCCAACTTGCAGCCAAACAGTTTGGCCGTTAAAGTGAAAGAGTCCGCGGTGACACAGAGGTTAATTATGAGAAATAACGTCCTTAACAACATTACTATTCTTTCACGCGCGACAAAGCTCCTACACGGGATGATTGATCCAAAATATGCTCGCATATTCAAATGTCTAAAAGCTGCCAAGCAGCACTACTTTACCATTCTCAATTTTCGCTAGTTTCTGTATTCTGTCATTCAGCTGTCGCTTAAATATTAAAATCATTTTATTCTCCCCCTCTAGTCGGTACCTGATTGTACCGCTTTATACCATAACATTTACTGTTTTCCGTCTCTCCATGAAGACCGTTCTGGCATGATTTAGAACGCTGAAGAATATACATATCATAAATTCAATATGCAGTATCATTTCGTAAAGGACATTCATTGGATGACACCCTGTAACAAGTTTATTATTATGGGTTTTCCGGCAAAGTGCTAGTTTTCGATGCCAACAACAAGAATAGCATCCTTCTGTCACATCTCTTTATTTGTTCGGCAGGGTCGAGTTTCTTTGCTTCTAGCAACCTCAGGAAGGCTTTATAGTATTTTAGCACCTGTAGCGCATTGACCGAAACACAGCACTACGTTGTTGGGTCGAACAACAAATATGCTCGGA